TTCGGGAGTGTATGCCGTCACCATGAACTTGTACTCCCACGAACTTAGGAGACCTGGTACCTCACATGACGTTGTATTGAACCCTGGAAATTAAACAGTCACTTTACAGAAATAGACATTGATGACAGACTGTGAATCGTCGTCAACTCGAACACCAATACCTAGATGTGTAACGCTGACGACGATGCACATTTAGGGTCACATACAAAATCTCACCTTTTGATATCAAATAAATATATCAACACAAGTTCATAAAGTGTTGATATATTTGATATCAAAAGACACGAGGGTGAGATTTCATTTATCATCCAGCATCATTCTTCCAACTTTCTAAAGTCTAAAGTGTAAAAAGTACTGCTAATAGCTTCAGTGGCAGAGCCATTAGAGATGTCATTTGATTGTGACGTCATGGTAACAATGACGTCACACTGGTCTGCAAAGCATTGTGATGCAATTTCATTGCAGCGATTTCTACAGTGTAGATATCGCTTGATCTCACCCGAGCGATATCTCCCGTGGAAGCCAGTTTTGGGTGATAAGGTAGAATCCTAATAGGTGTAATCTCACAACACTTTTTGGCTCCTCCTGTCGAGATAAATAATGTAATTATTTAAAGTGAGGCTGGTCGTCACTAATGCCTATATCACTTAATGACTTCCTCCCACATCTTAATTAACTTTAAAACTGCTCAAAGCAGCGTTAAACCAAACTGGAGGACCGTCACCCTTTTCAGTATTACTAAGGAAACGACGCAAGGAATACGCAAGTATGGAAGATACTGACATATGACATGGTGAGTAACACTATAACTGTAGTATATAATGGTATTGACATGTATTCAATTGCATCCATATCTCTGGGTGTTAAACAGTTTTAATTTGAAACCTATCAATGTATATACCTGTGTATATCCCAATAATGCATAAGATTGTACACATTATTGTATCCCTTATTTGTTAAGACCGATTGCTTTCCCTACCATCAACTCGTACTGTTGTCTTGAGAGTGAAGTTTGAAGAGCGTCTCCCCGTGGCCTCCCACACAGTGATGTTGTACCAGGTGGGGCCGTTATCGTGTGACGGGCGCGTCCAGGACACTCGGATTACGGAAGCGTTCAGAACAGTTGCTGCGACCCTCATTGGTTGTAAAGGGGCTAGAAAATAACAACAAATTTTCAATAAGGATTTAAAAGAAAAGGCAATACGTAGGTTAAAGTTATGTTAAACCATACAACGTTTTTTATGATTACGTGAAACATGTCGACTCATCATTGTGTGTGTTTTCACGGGTAGTGATATTCTTAATGATCAAAGCATCAATAAAACTGACGATTAGAGGATGATTCATGACAATATTTCATCGTTACTAAAATCGCGAATTATTCACTTCTATCCTCAGTTGTAACCAGCCTATCCCGTTCAGTGTTAATATGTTAATGACTCATCTGATACATGATCTGATTCTATGCTGTAAATAATCGGGAGCGATTGATTGTTACAATGAGCAACGATCCACCCTCGTCGGGTACAATGCCACTAAATCTCCGAATCTGAACACTCGGTCAGTTGTGTCGCCTCGTACGACAAGCTTGAACCTAGACGGGAATTATTCTGTGCAAACAAAGGATTATATTTTCCGTGCAAAAGGTATTTGCAAAATTTCTGAATATATCCGATCTATTTCATATATTTGAAATCAAGTTATAAATGTAGTGCTAATTTGCATAGCAACCCACAGACCGCTACGAACCTGATATATCCGTTTGTATTGATAACGTTGAATTTGGTCCATCATATTTATCGTTTCTGGCACTGATGCTCATGGAGTAGTTTGTGTAAGGCTTCAGGAGTGATACGTCATAAGATATATTGCCATGGCAATTCATCATCGTAGTAAAGGTCATCAGTCCGCATGGTCCCTTAAAACAATGAATCTATCGTAAACAGTTTGGACTTAAAATCAGTAATCTAAAATTAATCATGACTGATGAGATGCAAAAGAAATAACGCATCGATATAAGAAGAATTTGCTATTTTGTTACTCTTCCAAATCTCTGTGAGTGTTGGCCTCCGTGAATGTGTGTACAATACTTGAAGCTAGCTATATATAGTATACGTGAAATTGCTGAACGCTGGAAAATAACTAAAGCGACGATACACCACAACCATTCATTCATCAATGAGAAATGTACATGTATAATCTTCATAGGAATATGCCATGGTCTTTCTTATCATGTTGAAGCAGAAGACATTTTTGTGGAATTTTATCAATAAAAAGACAAGAAGGTGTTTTTTGTTTAGTTTCCTAAAAATAACTCCTGAAATGTAAATGTTAACATTATTACACACAAAAAGATACCTAAAAAATAATACTCATAAACATTTTACGTTTACATAAAGTAGGGTGATATGTCTTTATAAATGTATTATGATAATATTTTACGCTAACGTGAGAACTCCTCCTATATGGTAAAATGGAGCACTTACAGTGTGAATAAGTAACACGTACCGTTCTTCGTGAATTACTTGTGCATTGGTACAAAATCTCGTAAAAACATAGTCCATTCACATTGAAAACTATATCATAATACTGTATAACACCCGGTGTCGTTGGTTCTTCCCAAATCAGGCTGACGGTGGAGTCCGTCACATTGGTGAAGCCGAGATCCCCAACAGCACCCGGTTCTGCAAAACCACAATATACATAAAGGCAACTGTGATCATATATGTTTATTGATAAGTGCACACGAATACTAATTATCATAGTAGGAACTATTTGGATGTCCGGACTGATACAGTCTGTATACCCAACACAGCCAAGTATGCCGAACACAGGGATAATTCGATGTCAGTTGTCAAAAGCGTAGACACACCTTAAATGTGTTTTTTTTCCTTTCAAACTGTTCTATCTCCGATGGGCAAAATATATACATAACACCCTAACCTATGTACAACTTTGAATGTTGTTTTAATTATTTACTTTTGGTAAGTATCGCTTTGGTGTAGTAGTAGTAGTAGTAGTAGTAGTAGTAGTAGTAGTAGTAGTAGTAGTAGTAGTAGTAGTAGTAGCAGCAGCAGCAGCAACAACGGTATTAATAGTGATAGTAATAGAAGTAGTGGTAGTAGATTTTTGATTGCTTGAGTTCGGTTTTACGCCGCTTTTAGCAATATTTCAGTAATATCACGGCGTGACGAGCTAACGCCTTAACCACTTAACGCCTTAACCGCCTTATCCGCCACAGTGGTAGTAGAGGTAATAGTAGTGATAGTAGTAGTAATAATAATAATATCAGTAGTAGTAGCAGCAGGACTGGTAGTTGGAGTAGTGGTAGTAGTAGCAACAGAAGTATTAATAGTAGTAGTAGTGACAGTAGAAGTAGTGGTAGTAGTAGTAGTAGTTGTAGTAGAAATAATAATATCAGTAGTAGTAGTAGCAGCAGCACTTGTAGTGGAGCAGTGGTAGTAGTAACAGCAGCAACAGATGTACTAATAATAGTAATAGTACTGCTATATCACTTATGGGCAAAACATACTCGTATATGACATCCTAACGTATGTTCAACAGGAAAATATGAATTTTGAATTTTGTTTATTTTCTTTACTTTTCGCAAGTATCGCTTTGTAGGAGTAGTAGTAGTAGTAGTAGTAGTAGAAGTAGTAGTAGTAGTAGTAGTAGTAGTAGTAGAAGCAGCAACAGCAGTACTAATAGTTATAGTAATAGTAGTAGTAATAGCAGTGATAGCAGTAGTAGTAGTTGCGGTAGTAGTAGTTAGTAGAATTGTGACAGTAGTAGCAGAGGTAGTAGTGACAGGAATAAAGCTGAGGTTTGTCCTACCGGTGACACAGTATTTGCCAGTACTATTGAGAGGAGGTATACACTGACACACATGGTTCACACACTCCACCATGTCGGGGGGACTGCACTCCGTCGTGCACGCCTCACCGAGGCCGGGGATAGCTGTAGCTGTCACCGTGGCTGGCGTGATCTCTGTTGTCGTAGATGAGGAGTTCTGCACGAATTATGATCTTGGTTAAGCACACCACGGAATACATAGTAATAACGAACGATCTACGATGAAGTACGGAATATCGATCTCCACATAATGAAAAGTGTAAGCCCCAAGCCATTGGCAATGATCTAACAACACTTCAGCACACTATAGACGAGATGGACACTATCTACACAATAGGACTCTATATACACTGTACTGACAGTATATGCACCACATGCACATATATACACTGCATCGTCACTACATATACGACATGATTACTACATACACTGCCCAAGGAATATATTCACTACATGGACGCAATGTACACTACATGGACACTATCTACACAATGACACTATATGCACCACATGCACATATATACACTGCATCGTCACTACATATACGACATGATTACTACATACACTGCCCAGGAATATATTCACTACATGGACGCAGTGTACACTACATGGACACTATTTTCGACACATGGACTTTATATACACAAGCACACTATATACACTACTTCCTGAGCAATATATACACTACAACAAACAGCGGTATATATTGCTCAAGTAGTGTATATATAGTGAGCATGTGGAATGTAGAGACCTTGTAGTCTATATGTTTCCAGGTAGTGTCGTGCTACAAATTAGGTGAACGCGTTGTCCACATTGAGCACATAGCTTCCGTGTGGAGAATGTTACCTTACATGCATAACAGTTGTGCTTTGTGTCTTGACTGAAATGAACTCGCGAGCATGGTGTGAAGACGTTGCTATGGAACAGACGCAGCCCTATTGTTATGTAGACTGGCTTCCATGCATATGCAAGTACTTCTTCATCATTTCCGTACTAAACTCTACCCCAAATATAGTAGCTTAATTAGTTGCCCGAGTATATTTGACTCCCTTGAAATACGAACGCGGGTGTTGATAATGCTGTAGCAATATCAGATCGACTACAATGAGAAGCAGACAACAAACAGAATTGCGAAGTAACAGCCTTACCCGTAGCACCGTAAGAACGAGGACTTCCACGAGAACAAGCCCGTTCTTCACAGCGGTGGCCATTTTAAAAGTCACTGTGTGTCGATTGTGTGGGACTGAGAAATAGGAGCTGGAACGTACTTATGTAACACTCTCTCTTGAAACTGAACATGATAACCACGCAACCACTCCAGTCACACGAACAAGTGGGCCACGATGATAAGAGCGGACAATTATTATGCACGAGTTACCGTTGATATGCAGGCCAGCACAAATTTCACAATAACATGAACGACCTGCTCTTCGGTCTATTTGATAAAATCCCACGTATTTTTACTGCAGTGAACTTCCGATATATAGACTGTGTGGGGTTCAGGGATTATTGACACAAACGCAGGTAGCCCATTTTCTAATAAGCGTTTGAATTGCGAAATTCAGTCACGCAATTGCGTAATCCTATCGCATATCAGTTGTCCTTAATAGTAATCATTGTGTAGTATTTTTTTGTGATAATGTTTCTCGAAAAAAGCGAACGTCTAATTAATCAGGCTATAGATGTAGACATATGGTGAGGGGACAGAGAGAGTATTTCGTGAACAATCTTTTTTGTCAAACCGAGTTAAAAAATCAAACGAAGTCATCAGATAATCAGTCATTCAATAAGGTCGCTTTAGAAAGTGCTTATGTGGAATGTAATCTTATTTAGTATTAAGTAGGCAGAATGTTTTATGTCAGGAGACTGTATGTTCTCTATGTATAAATACGTAAACAATGGTGTTAATAACAAAAATTCATCTAAGCTGTCACCATATTTTATATAGCAGTTTCTCAGAGAAAGCTAAACTAGACATGAAGTCAATGGGTTAAACGTAATAGCCACTTAAAAAAACTTGCTGTCATCAGCATTGCTGTCTTAATATTTATGTATTAATTATGAGGACAAAGGTATGAACAAAAATGTTGCCATATCAGCAAGAATGAATGTACTATAGTAGAACAGTGTTGCAAAACACCACAGTTAAGTCTACTTCACAAATCTCTGAGCTTATATACCTTCTGATGAGAATACGTGTTCTAATGCCATACAGATTTAGAAATTGTCTCACAAAAAATATATACATTCCTGGCGGTTTTGGTGCTGAAACGACGAATGGGCAACCACAGCTGTTTCAGACGAGTACTTGTTAAAAAGGGTTCTCGGGGTATGAGACGAAGAAGGTCCCTGTCGTCGAGATGTGTCGTCACAGGAGGTCTACCGGATCTGTGACGGCCCTGTCCATGACCGGTCTGAGCATGTTTCTCGACTGCAGGGCTTACGACAGTGTGATGAAACCCCAAATTCCGACCAATGGCATCACAAGACATTCCTGCGTTATGCATGCCGATTATTTGCCATCTTGTGGCGTTTGATAATCGCCTTCGTGCCATGATCACACAATGTCATGGAATAAATGCTTAAAACCGAGCTGAAGAAAGCAATTTTAACGTTTGGATATACTGCTTTTAGAAATACTCGCGGGTAGCATGCTGCACGTGATACCATGCATGGCACGTGAGCTTTTGTCACGCATGATTGATTACATCATCTCGAGGAAACATAATTCTTCCCGTAATTATATCTTTCACGACTGTTACATCGAAACCCGAACCTTCCACTCTCCTGGAGGATGTCTCCTAAATACAGAAGATCCCACTGAGCACAGCGACCTGGCAGCAAAGATCACAGACATTGTTGACCTTTTCCATCATGGTGATCCTGAATCTTACCTAGAAACTGTGGGTACGTCTGGAATCCCGGACGGTGTGTACGTTCGATTTGTTTGTATCAAATATACTTTCACAAAATCGGATAAACTCCATTTGAATAAAATAGTCTGTAACAATATATTGATTAAAGTTCCCGTGGCTCAAATACTATGTAACAATGTATTGGTTGAAATGTTTTGTGTCTATTTTTTTCACAGATATAGTTGGTAAGTTGGGTTCAACACTGTAAATGAAACGCATGAAGCCTAGTGTTTTAATTATTTGCTGAAACCCAGCAGCAAAGGAAAGTATCTGACATTTACATGGTAAATTGTGGCACCGTTTGCCATTTCGCCACGAAAACTGGGTAGCTGCTGACCATACATCGTATAGATTCATAATGAAAAATGATGTGATTATATCATTCCTGGCTGGAAGTACGACGTAGGTTCAACGTGTGAATGGCGTCCACCGACGTGGGATACCCACAATACAAGAGTAACACTTGAAGGCATGTGCATTCATTCTCCATTTACACGATCCTCAATAACCTCTACGCTTTAACCATTAGCAGTGGATGTATGATAACCCAGCTATGTTGCAGACTGGCATATTCAGTTATAGGGAGAATTTAACGTCCGAGTCGTCTGTGGAAATCAGCCTCCTGTTTCTGTACATAATGAAGTGTACAAAGATACTTTTTTTTCAGATGAGCCTATGCCTTTATCAATATACCGATATTCAAGTGTTGTTGGGTTCATACTTTCGGAAATTAACTTTTGAATTCTTCCTCAATATTTGATTGTAAACACTCAGTGGGCGTGACGTCGGAAGCAGTGGTGGTCCTTTTACTTTTATCAGTTTCAAGGATGTAGTGTGATCGACTATTTCATTTCCAGTTGAACTTTTCTGTTATTAAAACAAAATATCAGTGGTCAACAGCGTTGAGACTAATCGTATGGCTGTAATCCTATATCTCATAGATGATGTAAAGGATACTGTACGATTAGAAAATACACCATGTACTGTCAAGTATGAATGGAATAACTGGCATGTTGAAACCGTTACAGTCATGTAAATTCTAAACATTCAAAACCCGTGCATACCTGTGGTAAACAGTTTCGTAAATTAACTGAAGACTGCTGAATCGGCGGAGCTAAATTCGTGTCTATTGCAATAAATACTAAGTTTTATTGACAGTAAACCAACAGTTTGCAGGTTTCACTAAGAAAACAGCATGTATTGCTGTTATTAAACCTTTCACAGCGGAACAGGTCGTTGGTGTTTTCAACTTTACCAACTACACAATTCTAATTCTTGTGAATATGGAAAGGGTTTTGTCGCTTTTATCTATTATTCATACGTAAAGGCTAAAAGTCGTATGGATTGTTTGTTGTTTAACGTCGCAGTCAGCAATATTACAGCTATATGACGGCGGTCTGTAAATAATCGAGTATGGACCACGCAATCCAGTGATTGACATCATGAACATCGATCCACGCAATTGAGATACGATGACATGCATCAACCAGGTCAGCGAGCTTGACCACCCGATCACGTTAGTCGCCTCTTACAGCAAGCCTAGTCGCCACTTACGGCAATCATGGGACGCTGAAGACCTATTCTACCCAGGATGTTCACGGGTCAAAAGTCGTATACAGATAGATTGTGAGGTGATGTGGGCCTTCCGTTGATTGGTTGGTTGGTTGACGCCACACTCAGCAATATTCCAGTTGTATGACGGCGGCCTGTGCATAATCGAATCTGGACCAGACAATCAAGTGATCGATGCTGAGATCACGCCATCTCACCAATTATTCTGGGGACAGATGTTGGAATCCCCAGTGGACAAAAGGATGTAAAACAAATGGGATGTGTACGTGTGGCTCATTGGACCCTCCCAGGAATTGCGTATGGCTGCAATTTTCAGATCCAGTAAGTTATAAAGGTGTTTTCAGTTACAGATTCAGAAATACATTTTTGACATTTCTATGAAACATTATATTTAGTAAACATTTGAACGGTAGTGGATCTACATGCAACTAATCTACGTTATTTACAAACGCAAACCAACGGCAAACGGCATTGCTCACAAAATCAATACATTTTATCGTAAAGTTTTAACTTTATTGAGGATTAGACAGATTAACAACACAAATACATTGTATCGTTGGGTGTAACAATGCCCTATTAAGAAAATATTTATCAAATGTTACTGAAGTTGTCATTTGATGTTTGCAAATCATCACAGCCGTTCCTGCAGATCGCTGTACAAACTGCCATCATCGTCATTCACATCCAGATTTAATATTTCATATGTCTGGTATTTTGTATTGATCTCTACATTTTCATAATCTTCATTGCTGGAAGTATTCTGTACATTGCTGCTTGAAAACGGCATTTCTGCATTGGAGGCATTTTCTTATACTTTTTTATACGGATGCACCCTTTTTGGATTCACAACATGTTCATTTCTATCAGATAACGCCAAATGATGCCCTTCACTGTAAGATTTCAGTTTTCTTGCTGGTTGAATAACCTTCCTGAAACATGACAATAAAGCAGGTTTACGAAAAGCATACGTGTTTCTTTAATACAGGAACGTACGCACACCGTCAAACCTAGTAGAAAATGTGCTAGTTGTCTTAATTTTCAGAATATATATTGGATAATGTTCACCTGCAATGAAGACTTATATATATAAGTTTATCACCAATATGTTTATATTTCAATAACGGATCAGTAGGAAAAAATGGAATCACTAATCATGCACGCAATGGTTCTTTAAGATTTGCATACTCACATATATACAACAAAGGATATGATGGTACACAGAAGAACTGTGGCGGTAACACCAAAGGCAATCCATGGCGTCATATCCTTTCCAGTCCCTAATGTTATTGAATGAAAAAATGTAATCTGTAATAAAATGAAAACAAACAAAACCCCTTGCCATAAGCATCTACTAAATTAAAAGTCCATTTAACCGAATGATACAAATGTATGGAATATATTTGAAAAAGCATACTTGTTGCATTGTTTTAATATTTATATTACCAAAAATACATGCAAATATACATTTCATTTCTAGGCGACATTCTTTACGTGCCCTTTACGCGCGTGTTTGAAGGTAGGTACCTCTTGAGCTTGTTCTGAAGTGACCAAAAGGTTTAGTAGATGTACAGCCAGCGTTGGTGCATGCCACTGCCATAACCCTGGAAAAAATTACAGTATATGTAGTCCTTAGAGATCAAGTCGCGATTTCTCGAAACAAACTTAATTCTGAGTTTTAATTCAAAATTCAAATGATGAGTTCAATTTTGCATTAGAAACGGAATATGGATTACGCCATGGCCACAAAGATCTTGGACAAGCAATAAACGCCAATCAATCCTCTGTGTTAAGGCGAGCCCCACCGCTGGCATCCGTAACAAAGGCAAGACAATTGTTCACCTTAAAACGCACGGGAACATATAGTATATTTTGCCTTATGTGACACATAAATAGTTCTTTGTACTGCGAGACCATTCTCGTAATTTAGCCAACCAGTTAAGGAAGGTCTGTGGTTTGCGGAATAGTTACATCCCTCAACACACACTATACTCTTTTGTGCTAACAACCCTGCTTGTCATTGCAAAGATGTACATGCATATAAACTGAGATTGTATACATGTATGAAATGAATACCATCACTTGTGAAGTGACCCCGTGATTAGAGGTTTAGTTGCAAAAGATCATGTGATGTGATGGAACTTACTTATACACGGTCTCTGGTTCCAGAGGTCCATTACAAAATTGGTCCTGTTTATTGTCACAACTCCCATCACTTCCAACCAGGAAAGATGTAAGAGCATCGTCGTTTTCTATCATGAAAGCATATAAGTGAGTGAGTTGGTTTATCGCCGCTTTTAACAGTATTCCAGTTATATCACGGCGTGTCAGCTTCATGTGGGAGGAAAACCCCGAAGTGATGCAGGTCTCAGACAATTACCACTTCGGTGAAACCAACGAGCACGGGTATGGTGCTGACAAACCTAGAAACATAATCGAGGCGAACCGGGATTCGAATCCCCAATTATAGGTTTCTGGCGTACCCAAGGGACGCAACTCTGCACAGCGAATCGAGACGCCTTAGACGACAAGGCCACCCGTGCCCCCTGAAAACATGTAAACAAGTCTCTCTATTTTTAAAAGTATGTTTAATATTGCATATTGGGATAAAAAGCAAAGAAAATAAGATTATGAACATAAGTTAAAACTAGTTTGAAAATGTTTTGTAACTTTAGCGAGCCGTGATAGCGATGACATAATGATATTGTACCAGTAGAAGCCCCCCTTCTTCTCCTGCCTTGTATCAGGTAATGTTCTGGAGTGGGGCGGTAAGAACCCTTATACCCAGCCTTCTTCCACCTGTACCAGTTCATCCATGTGTTCCACGATGTCACATTTCCTGGGCCGCTAGAAGTTTCTGTTTTGAATTGTGATGTATTTGAAAGGCATTAATATTAGTATTCAATGGTGTCAAACAGTGAAAAGGGTATTGCTAAAGATGAAACATACGACTTAGGGTGAAGCAAAACAGATATTTTGTTCGAAATATGCACAAACTTCGCCTGTGGAACTTAAATAGATAAGAAGTCATTGACACCATCTACTGATGACCAAGTAATGTGACAAGTATTAAATACACAAACCAAAACATGTAAGTATATTACATATTAATCGCTTTGGACGCGTTAACATATGACACAATACGTGTTTATAAGATTACATTGTCGGCACATGGACAACAAGTGCCTGTAACATACCGCTTTTTTGCATGACAATAAATCCCGCTTCAATAATGTTCCCATTTGTTGAGTCCAGAAGTGTCGATTTATTAAAGGAAACTGTAAAGAACGTGTCTGTGCTGTGTTTGTCTTGAGCTGCTGTATTTATGAATATATCTGTCGTAGTCTTTGGTGGAGGTTCTGTTGGAGAGGAAATTATTTATTAATTTTAATTATTTACTCCCAATCATACTCTCAAAAACGTGGAGGATCATGTAAAATGCCTACCAGAAATAGAACGGTTTCGGAACCAAAACCTAACGCCCCAACACACCCGAAACACTGCACATGGATTATGCAATTCCCCCATGCACGTTGGTAGGAGGTTATTCTTATTTTGACACTGAATTGAAAGTTCGTCAAATCGCTCTGAGCCATTACTGTATCCACAGTAACACGAAAGCTCTCTTCTCTTGCTTGTAAAATGTGTTTTACTCTGGTGGGTAACATTCACGCAATCACAACAGCATTAATAATCAACAGTAAACAGACCAACATATTCTTTCCCACTAGCCGACTAGACTTGCATACCCTCGTCAGATAATGTAAATCCTACTAGGGAACAGTGCAGTTAGCAGAGGCGTTATGGTATGGTGACCTTACTTTGGTTGCTGGCGATCTACAGCCCAAATTTTAGATTCTGAGGTTGTTGATAGTAAAATTATTTTAGTATTCTCCAACCTATTATATATGTAAATATAACATAGCCGCGTGATAAATCGCAAAGTACAATGAAATATTTTTTTTATAAAATACCCTTAAAGAGGTTGTACATACTGTTCATATTTCATATTAGAATTTAAGGTCTCGTGGTCGTTTTTTATCCTACAATAGGACACTGCCAGGAGAAAATACCAATCGGGGCTGCGCCCTTCATCGTTTCTCCTCCATGCATTTGTTGACATGATTTTATTTGATAGAAAGGTAGTAAATCGCTCTATTCATATTATGGCTGACATACTGTCACCGTTACTAAACTTTTACTCACTCACTACAATGATCAGACAAAGAAAACCGGTACTTACTGCCAGCAACAGCATAAAACACATATGACACACCCGGCCTTCCCGCGTACATTGCATTGGCGAAAACCTTGAACGATAGGAAACAATTTTATCAGGCGACAATAAACCTTTCCTGAGAATCCATTGTGGTAACCCATGACACATAAAGGTACAGATAAAATGACGCGTATAGATTGCGCTGTTCATGATTAGAAATTTATTTGAGAATGTAACAACTGCTTCAGCTCCATCACACAAACCAAACAAATCAAAACTTAACGGCGTGTGAGATTTAGATGTGTTGGTGCACATTAGTCACGTGAAACAGTTATGAAATAAAACTGAAAAGAATGGACATATAATATAATATGATATTTTGTTCTTACTGTAAATGTATAGTTATTTTCAGGTCGTACTGGTAATATGGCAGTGTGGGTTGTACATGGATCCTCTGGTTCATAGTGACCATATACTACGGTAGGTGTTCCCTGGAAGCCAAGATTCGAATACATAATTAAGATAAAAGTGTATTCACAGTACACGTATACACACATATATATAATAGTAAATATTGACATTCGAACATATTTGTGCGTGCTGGCGCTTGTATACAGAGACCTAATTATTCAATTTTAATACGAGAGCGTACTTTCAACTGGGTATGTTAACTATTTACATAAAACCATTGTTTTGTATGCGGTTGTTAGCATTTAAGAAAAAAAAACATGATCTAAAGTGTGAAACATAACCTAGGTACCACAAAACACTTAAGTTTCCTCTGTGTACAAACCGGATCAGAGCACTTTATTGTGTAATTCTTTATAAACCCGTTCCTTTCTCGTTCATTTGGACACTCCCAGGTTAGGTTGACTGCTGTAAAGTTGCCAGGAAGTGATGAAACTGTAAGATTCCGTACTTGGCCAGGCACTGGGAATGTGATCAAATATTAATCCGGAACAGAAACACATGTACATGCGATCTACATTTGCAGTGGTCTATGATAGAAAATCTTAGAAAACTCAATAATTGCACTGGAGTGTTTTATTTTGACAATATATGTTATGTTTTGTGCGTGTTTCAACAGTCGATGAGCATTTACCAGATCCCTTCGTCACCGATGTAGATGCCGTGTCTAAGACAGGGGAACTTCCTTCGGATGTGCTGGCTGTAATGCTGAACTTGTAGCGCCATGAGCTCAACAGATCCCCAATGGCCACGTGGTCAGAGGTGTAACCTGATCAGAAGAACGTGTTTAAAGGTAATGATTCTTGAGTAAAGCGTTACTTAATGGTAAAGTCAAGTACTATATTCTGCATATATTAATTCGGATCTACAGGACACAAGCATAGCATAGCTAGGACACACACACACACACACACACACACACACACACACACACACACACACCGTCTATATTTTGCCCTGCACTATTATAGTTACTTTAATAGAGCAAACTTTCTTACTCTTCTAAAATGTCTAATGCAATAATAGGCATGTGTTGTATTGGACAGGTATTTAGAAAGAAACCTGTAAAAAGCGGTGCCGTAAATATTTAAAATCCTCGACCAGGGTTGACGAGCTGTTCCACCTAATTGCCGATATGTAAGCCTATATTATAGATACTCAGAGGCAGAAGTTATTGTGACACACAAAAAACAAAGAAAATCATATCACATGAAAAAGAACAATAGTACGGTAACGAACAACAGTCAGTGTGAAAGAAACACTCCTGTCATATGCAAATGAGTCATGTCACTTAACTGAAGAAAGGCCTGAGGAATGACATTCCACACCTGGGGAAGGATAAGGCCGAGTCACGGCAACGACGTTGGATGATTTGGAGGTCGTCACAAAGGTCGTTCTATTTCATCACATGTTCGATTGGTTAAAGTGCAAGTGATCAGATACGGCTGCATAAGACTCTCGCAACATCTGAACTGGTGTTGCCTTGCTTTAGTGTTACTTAAGGACCGTCCTGTTGCAAAAACGATAAACCGACCGTTTGCGAAACCTTGTCCCTGTATCTCGCAGCATTCAAATTCCCATCATTCACAATCAACTGAATCCTTCCTAAAGCCGTTATTCCAATCCTGGATCATAACGCTACCATCTCCAAAGTGTTTGCCTTTAAGATTACATGGTGTGACGTAATAATAATAATAATAAGAAGAAGAAGAAGAAACAAATTCAGGGTATTGACACCGTCACACGAAGAATCATGTCAGACAATAGATCCCACCACCCTCGCTCTTCCCTCAATCGCTTATATTTACCAATCATTATGGGAGGACGTGGTTTGATTAGTGTTGCGGCTCTTCATGACAGAATTGTTTTGTGCACTTTTGTACACATTTATTTGTCTGATGATCCTCTTGTGAAGCATGTCAAGACTCATGATGAAAACAAGGCATTCCATAGTTTTCTAAAAGGGGCCAAGGGTGTGGAACATAATCTCAATGTCGGTGTTGATTTTGTTGATGGTTCTGTGCTGCTGGACGGTACAGAAATGAGTGTCAACCAAGCGAAGTGCCATATCAAGTCGGCTCAGACTTGGAGAGGCTATCTGAACGACCACTGCATCGAGTTTATATGCAGTGTGTTGAGAAGATCAGCAATCCTGCAGAGTCCTTCGCTTGGATGAAGTCGTCTGGCCTGAAAAGTGAAACAGAAGGCTTTCTGTTTGCTGCTGAGGGCCAGTCACTTCCCACTCGAAACCGTAAATGTGTGATTTTGCATCAAAATGTAAACATGAAATGTAGATTATGTTATGAATTTAATGAGAATGTCCAACACATTTTCAGTGGATGCCCAGCTTTGGCACAAACACAGTTTCTTAAATGACATGATGGTGTAGCTCGATCATTTTATTACCGTCTTCGCCGTGCTTGTGGTTTTGACACAGAGGTCCACCCATGGTACTACCCGGAATATGTCGAGGGCGCCATGGAAAATGATAGATACAAGATTCTATGGAATAGGCCCATTTACAGCCTCAGACGTATCCAGGCCAACAAACCTAATCTTGTCCTTTTTGATAAATCCAATGAAATAATTTATATCAGTGAATGTTCTGTCCCCTTTGACACTAATGTGATTGACAAGATTGAGGAAAAACATGTCAAATATGCGGACCTCGCTTTCGAAATGTCACGCTTGCATCCCAAGTACCAAGTTGCCCGACTCCCCTTTGTTCTCGGTGCCTCAGGTTTGGTACCTCCCAATCTGTTGACTCACATCGGGAGAGTACCCGGGTTTGCTACCAGGAATACAGCCCTTCTGACAATCTGGGTAATGCAGAAGGCTGCAGTGTTGGGGAGTCTTCACATTCTCCGAAAAGTTCTGGGTGGGTTTGACTGGGCAGCGCTTCCTGGGAGAAGTCCCATTCGCTGTCTGGGCTGCGTGTAGAGGGGCAAGGGCTCTGAGCTGATGCTGAGCCTAACCAGCCTGGCTGTGCCAGGATCACCCAAACCCTCTTTGCTGCATTTTTTATTTTAATCTGTAAATAATAATAATAATAAATATAGATGCGAGCAGCTATGTCGGGCTCAATTGTTTCTAAAAGCACTGAGACATTCAGTTCCAGCCTACTTGAATCCACTTTATAAATACAGTGCACATGAGTATTATATAATGTAATTAATAATTTGGTATTTCACTGCTCCGTTTTGACGAAATTGGTGGGTGCTGGAGCATCCTGTTCGTAACTCATTTCAATGTTCGTTCTTATTCAAATCCTCAAATGGTTTGCTTGTACCAATACCATAAAAATTAAGGCATCGCTTGCGGCATATCACCTCCACTGAAATAGCGTGTGCAGGAGTGTCTCGGGGCGTTCTGAACCAATTTCATACCTCGACTATGTTCGATTCCTCAAATGGTTTGATTGTACCAACGCTGTCAAAGATTTAGCACGGTTTGTGGCATATCACTGCTACGACATTTGCATGTTTCGGAGTATCCCATGGTGTTCTAAGTACATTTCTGACCATGTCCAAATGCTCAAATGGTTTGCTTGTACCAGGGCCGTCAAAAGATTGTCACTGCTAGCAGAACATTGTCGCTACGAAATTGGCATGTGCCGGCGTGTCAGAGAACTACTTAACTCATTTCCGACCTCGACAATGGTTTGCTTGTGCCAACGACGTCTTATGTATGCAGTGCTTGCGGGACATCGCCGCTACAAAATTGATGGTTCCGATGTGTACCAGGATCTTTTAAACCCATTCCTGTCTTCGACCATGTTCGAATCCTCAAAGGGTTTGCTTGTACCAAGGCCGTCAAATTGAAGGAACCGCTTGTGAGACATCGCCACTAAGAAATTGACATGTGCCTGGGTGTCCCATTGTGTTTTAACCAATTTCCGACCGTGTACGAATCCTCAATGACATCACCACATGTGTCAAAGTGAGTTCTTAACCCATGTTTGACTTCTCAAATGGTTTGCTTGTACCAACGCCGTCAAATGAGGGCACCGGTTGCGGACATCGCCACTATGACATATGCATGTGTCGGGTGTCAAAGGCTGTTCTAAACCCATCGCCGACCTCGAATCCGCCTGTTCGAATCCTTGCACCAACTCCGTCAAAAGATAGTCACCGTTTGTAGGACATCCCTGCGACGAAGTTGGAGTGTGACAGAGTTAAAAAGAGTGTTCTAAACCCATTTGAGCGGGGACGTATCGTCACTTCGACATCTGGGAAACTTGACTTTGCACCACGCACGGATGGCATAGACTGCCCAGACGTCGTCGGACAGTCGCAGATACGCCTTTGTTGCCAATTATGGTAAGCGTTTTCTGACTTGAACCTGTGTCAAAGATACATAGCTCGAATACATACTCACAGGTGGGCGGCCACTTCGGGCACGGCATCTGACGTGGTCCTGCTGTTGGTAACATCGCCACACGACACACATCGTGTTCCAGTGGACATTGCATTGATGTCACAATGCTAGGTACCGGATTCGAGAAATCCATTTGGACGTAAGCGTGTCACTGTGAAATCATATCAAAATAATCAAAAGTCTTAAGATTGCTTAGAATGGCCAATTAGATAATGAAAATATTTGAAGATATTACTCCTGAATATCGTTTTGCAAAGCCATAGAAAGCCAGCGACAATTCTTCGAGCTTCTTCACAAACAAGTTTCCTGGATCAAATCCCAAAATCCATATGACGGTCTGTAAGTGAAAAAACTCCATGTTACAATAAGTTTTGCCTTTGAGTAAATTTAACAGGGATAGTGCTGCATGACATCCAAACCCGCTTTTGTTATTTATCTATGCATTTCATAATGTTTAGAATTTATATTGAAACTAAAAGGGACAAAGCAAGATTCCTTTGGTATCTATTGACATTCAGTTAACACACAGGTAAGAAGTGGTTTTAGGCGATTGTCCCGTTCTACCTTTCACTAATACATTCCTGATGAGATCGAACTCCTTTCCCTTTCTTCCTGCAGCCTCCAGTACAGAGATGGTGTAAATCGTTGGTCCTGACTTGTGACCAGGCGGCATCCAGGTGACATATACGGCTGATTCGTTTATTACAGCAGCAGAAAAAATTGTGGGTGTTGCTGGAACTAGTTGGTCATAAAAAAAGAGAAGAGATAGATAATTGTCTTCCTTACTGTTCCATTTATATTTATATATTTATTCAGTATAATATACGAGCGGAAACCAAGTAGGTGTACCATATAAAATCACAGTAAAATATAAATGCTATGAACACTTTGACATGATCATGATTTCCTTTGATGACCCTGAAATTGCACATGCATCATTTTTACTGAATTCATACAATCCACACGAGTAAGAAATTCGTCTCACATTCACAGTACACGTGGGAGTCAATTCAAGAATAAAGTATATCGTTGATGTGTTTTATCTGTGAAAAGCACCTTTGTTGACAGACACATGTCGAAAATGTTATGCTAAGCCTGTCTGAAAAGGAGCATTTGCATGCTTGCAAGCGGACCTACACAAAACGTTGTTGGTGCACATCATAACACCGTTCAGTCACTCAGGGATCGGTACCAAACGACTGGCAAACACCAGTGACCGACCACGTTCTTGTCGTCCGTGCGTCCACGAATCTATCCATTTGGTTCACCTGCGAAATCCGTTTCAGAATGCAACTTTGACAGTCCGCAGCATCCCTGTTTCACGTTCGATTAGTGCAAGGAACGTAAATCGAATAAGGAGTATATCATCCGACCACGACGTCCAATTTTTCTGCCATGTCATCGAACTGCACGCCTGGCATGGTTAAGACAACATCTTAAGTGCAGGCTACAATACCTGAGGTGAGTCCTCTTCAAGATGAGTAACAGCAGTGATAGCCATCAAAGTGTTTATCGACCGATTTTTACAACTGACCGCGCGCCAATTTGATCCTTAGATGACGTTTACAGAGGACATGTGTTGACGCTGTCAAGATGAATTCATTTTTCATCGACATCAATATATTGTCAAAGCAAAAAAGGGTAGGTTTCCGTTTTCCAGATACCTTCCCATTTTGAATTAGCAAGAAAACTGAAGATTGCTGAAGGTATCTTGAAGGTTTCCGGGTGGTATCCGGGCCGGATTCAAAATGGGAAGGTATCCGGAAGATTTCCGGAAAACGGAAACCTACACTTTTTTTGCTGTGTGTTCATTGTTTGCTTATAGTGTTATAGTTTACCCTGGTATATGTATGAATATCTCCGGAAACAGTACTAACTTTAAGCATATTTTTATAAAAAATAATGTTATGTAAATACCACCCATCTCTGTCTGGTAAGTAAGGGTTGTTGTATCCCCGACCGTGGCGTTGTTGACGGCAGCGACAGTCACCGTGTAGTTAGTGTACGACATCAATGACGTCACAGCATAGCTGGTTTGAGATTCGTACCCCGGCCTCTGAATACTGGCATTGCGGTACGAATGACACTTTTTGTCTTCTGCCTGCATGAGGAAGATTCTCAAGTCCTGAGCATATATTTTCTATAGGTGAAAAAATGTGTTCCTTACCAATTTCCGAATTAATTCTCTCCGACTTTAGTTATGTTTCTTAATTTTTACAAACATCGATAACTTTTTAAGCGACTTTCCAGATTAAACCGAATACCACTGATCGTATGTTGATATTGTCATTGAAAGTTTGTGGAAGATGCTGACCAACCATTCTTCGGTGGTTCGGTACAGTCACGTTACTGTACAAAAACATATGTACACTAACAGTGGGGAGCTAATGAGTTGGGACCCAGTCGTCTAAGGCGCTGCGATTCGCTGTGCAGATTCGCGTCCCTTGGGCACGCCAGAAACCTATGATTGTGGTTTCGAATCCCGGTTCGCCCCGATTATGTTTCTAGGTTTGTCAGCACCATACCCGTGCTCGTGGGTTTCACAGAAACGGTAAACGTCTGAGACCTGCATCACTTCGGGCTTTCCTCCAACATTAAGCTGACACGCCGAGATATAACTGTAATACTGTTAAAAGCGGCGTTAAACCCAACTCACTCACTATGGTAACAGTATTAATATAAACCATCTGATATAAGCCTGTTTTTTTTCAAAAATTAGATGTCGTCCTAAGGAAACAGAAGTCTGGCGATTTCAAAAAAGAAATTTATAAAATCATTTTCTGCATTTTGAGACAATGTACGACCATTGCAGTACATTTTTATTAAACAAATTGCTGGACAGTGGGTTTTTGTTCTATATTACTGTCGCTTTGGACTCAATTTCAGAAAATGACATCAGTGGTGTGAACAAGCGTGTAGAAGTTTCAGCTTCCTTTTTTCAGTTATATCTCAGGAATTGATATTTACAGTGAAAGGAAAAGTTAGGAGAATTTAAGAGCATTATCTAAAGTGCAATGGTCAAACAAGTATCTGTTGAACCACACTACTATTTGACTGCACATGTAACAAATCTAATTAAATTGTGAACACAAGTGGACGAGGACTGGCCATAAATAGTGTTCTTTCATAAAGTGGCTCTCGAGAGGACCTATTTGAATCTATTTAAAACATCTTGATCATGAATGCATTCATATTGTCATCATTAGTGGGGAAAATAATTCAATACGCATTACAATATCATATTTACAGTGAAAGAAAATGCATTTTGGGACAATTTTGGAACATGGTGACAGCATAAAGGTTAAATGTAGGTAAATAATGGAACATATGTTTTGAGCTGCATTACAAACTACAGAACATATAATCCTTAACAGCAAAAGAAACGCAAGATCCGTTTCAATTTTTGGAACGAAAAATAAACGCAATTGTGTTAAATCGCATATACATAGAGAGCTTTCATTTAAGATATTTCAGACATTTGAACACGAATGAACAAATGAACACGAAACGTCAAAGAGAGATAAACTTCGTAGTGAGCAATGACAGTCCAGTATAGCCGGCTTGGGCTAGCGCACAGGCGGTACAACGTCGCCTCATAGAGACAACACGTGTCTGAAAGAAAGCCTGAGACAAGTGGTTCCCCTCAACTACAATTCTGCGGGTGTGCTTGTTTTTCTACCCGCTGCATTCCACCGTCCAATTTCGTCCCAAAGATGTTTACTAGGAGCCATATTCGGGGAGAGAGATGGTCATGGAAGAATGGAGATGTTGTTCTTAGACAGATACGTCACGGTCACCCTTGCTGTGTGAGGACGTGCGTTGTCCTATTTGAACAAATGAAGTTGAGGATGTTCTACACACATGGCAAGAACATGATGACACCTCCCTTCAAAGAAAAGCAGTTGAACGTTGTCGGAAGACATATACATAAAGTTGGGACCTATGCTTGTAGCTAAAAGGTTCCCCAACATTACTCTTCTACCAACCCATCTGAAAGACCCACCAATCAGTGAAACGTTCATTACGGTGACGCCAAACACGTAATGACCGTCAGCATGAGAAAGGTGGTAGCGTGAATCGTCCTAAAAGACAACTTGACGCCACTGAGCACTTTAGCAGCGTTAACGTTGATGTTGCCGTGACCACTGTAAACGTCACTGACGGTGTTGATATATATAAAATTCGTCCCACATATGGACGTCGACAGTGAAGTTACTTATAAGCGGATTGTAGACGTCACCGAATCTGCTGAATCACCGAATCCTCTTGGACCCTGAATTACACTTTTTGTTCTTGTTACTGAAGTGAGTGACCTTACGAAAGCAATCTTGTCCAGGTGTCGTAACACTGGTTCGGTCAAAAAGTGGTCGATCCGCAAAGACCCTGTTTGCTGATGATTCAAGTTTTGTGATGGTGGTGAGATGACATCCCCACTGTCTGGCTACTGCAGTTGCAGAAATACCTGCCAGCAATGTTCTAAAGGTCTTACTCTTTTGCCCAGGCGACAGTCTAGGCATCGTAGGCAGCTGTAGACCTTCTTGAATGAATATTGAACCGGTGTGTGACATCCACCTTTACAAAGGATACCATAGAGTATAAATGCACTCCCCTTTTCACCGGATAATGACTAAACGTGCACAATTCATTGTTTGGGTTTATTGATGATGTGTGCAAGTATGGAATGGATGCCATATTGCATGAGATCAGTTCATTTGTCATTATTTCAATATTTTCCAATCATTTCAGGCACATGGAATGGTTACACTTTAAAAAGTGCAACTTGCCTTTGTTTTGCTGTTCAGTATGTTGAGCCTCACTACTAATAACACATCTACAACAACATTTTATCTCTTGTGTCACGATTTTACGCATTCAACGCAGAAATGTGCATCCAGTACTCACAAATGTATAGAATGGACGCAATATATATATATATTGTTCAACAATAATATTCATCATGCTAAATTCTTGACATGAAATTTAAAGTTTCTGTAATTTAAAGTAATTATTAAATCTTACAGTACAGTACACTTCACCATTTCAGTAACTTTCAAGATCCTCAAAAACATTCTGTGGGAACCCTTGAAATTAAGTATTTGAGGGTCGCTTGTTGGTAAAACACCGGTATGTTCAAATGTGGTTGAAAAAGTCTTTCTCTCTCAAATAAGATGACAATATTACAATCGCTAATTTTAAATGAAAACACAAGTTTAACCACGTATTTATATGAATACAGTTAATGTATATAACGCAATGTGTATGGTGAATATAGTATGGTTTTTAAAATCTCAGATGATCACAGAAGTTTACAAAGAACTAGGTTGTACCTTACACGACCATGAAAAGGCGGACGGGGTCGGTGTAAACAAAGAGTAGATTTTTAGCTCGACACATATCTGTTCAATCTATAATTATTATTTTTTTGCAGTAAGGTCCCAATTAAAAGGTTATGATAACATTAAATATCAGTAAATTGGGCCATTAAATGAGTCAATGCAAAGTGATGTATACTACGCTGTCATATGATGTTATTATATTACGAATCAAAATCATTCTTACGGCTTTGCATCTTGTTACCACAACTGACTACCTCGTCCATAGTTTAGTTACGTCGGTCCTGTAGTGTAGCAGGATATTCTGTTCAAACTCACTCTGAAGGTTCCATCAGACTGGCAGTCAGTACAGACAATGTTCACAGCCTGTTGACACGCCCCGTCTTCTGTGTGGACGTACAGGACATATCCCAGGATGAAGCCGTTATGCAATCTGGGAGGCTGCCAGGACAGGGTGATGGAGGTGCTGGTGGTTGACGTCATAGTGAAAGTCGTCACTTCCCCAGGCTCTGTGCGACAATGCATAAAGACAAGTACAGGTCAATTAGATGTGATATAAGGAACGTGTGTCATATTTATCACAGTTGTAATATATGAACATGTCCAAATGGCGTTACAAATAAAAGTATATACTTTAACAAGTTACTCCTTTTGAATTATCTGACTTGATTTTGAAATAATAATTAGAACTGAAAGATATCCGCATACCTCCTGGGTTTCCAAAAAAGACTTCCTTCTGTTCAGCCCCCGTAAATGAATCATGCGCTACAACCTAAATACATACATAGTCTTTAATGAAAGTACCATATAGTAATATTTCTGTGCAAAACATATAGATAATGATAATGTTTAGAAAGTGAACTTCACGAACGTCCTTGGAAGATAACTGTTGTCATGTGACAAATTCCGAAATATAGTCACTGTCGCACAAGCCATTGTTTTGATCTGTAAGAGAAGAACAATGACAGGTTTGCATTCATGAAACAAATATAGAGCTATGTTGGCCTTACCATTCATGGCTCTGCTATTTAGATTGTGACTGATATATATTGATTTGATTAGAAATCCGCAAATAAACTACATCAAAATACTTGCACCTGTAGCACTATTATTTGGGAAAAAGGCGTATATTACTGAATAGTTGTATATAAATAAAAAAAATTATGTCATACCCCTTCTATATACATGACAATTTTGTTTGCATATGTTCTCGCGTTGATTAAAAATGTACTCGGTTTTTTTCACGTAGAACATAATTATATCATGATAATCTTTTAACACAATTATATTGAATGACACCTGAAGAGTGGAATCTTGCACTGATTTGACCCTGATATTGATTGGCACAATAGTTGAGATGTCTATCATACATTACAGCTCCACATGAGTCATTGTTATCAAATGCTAGATTTATAAATAGAGGTGAATTGGGGTTTAACGTCGCGTTCAAGGTTATTTCACCTCTGTGGCTATATGTACCACATGCATGCATGTATGTGAGTGTGTCAGTGAGTCACTAATGCATACCTTCAAATGCCAACCCACCATACCGCAGTTTAACACGGATACCCCAGGCACAGTTACACCAGGTACTATAATTTAACGTCTTTTGGTGTGACGTGACCGGGGATCGAACCACCGACCTCCCGCTATCCAGCGTTTGTAGTTAGGACGCGTAACTCGGATGCGAGCAGTCAAACATTGTAAAAACCTGTGGTTCAGAAGTGACAATGCTATAATGTGGCATTAATGATTAATGACATGAGAAATGTACTCTGTGTACTCACCGAAAATACATAGTTTACGTTAGGTGTGATGGATACGAAGGAGGTGAAGCTGCAATCTCCAAGACCTGACGAGATATTATAACCTTGTCGATTTTCTATCACAAATGCCTCCTCGTGGGTTTCCTGTAGAGAAACTCTTAGATATGATCTTCAACACACAAATGTTGCCATGCCGAAAACATCACTGGAAATGTGTTAGCTCTTGAGAGTAACTAAATCGCTGTTTGTTTCTTGTTACATACTGTAACTTTAATATTATCAATGAACAAAATCATATGTGCATACAACGTCATCTGTTTACCTGAGCAACGTAAGATAGAGTGTAGTACAGTATGACGCCGTGTCTCTCTGCTTCAATTGGGCAGGTGAAGGTGACATTGACAGCTGTAAGGTTGTCAGGTATCGCATCTATCCACAAGTCTTCTACTTTACCCGGAGCTGCAATATTATATCCATATTGCATTAATTGCTTGGTGAAAATGTTTGGCTAAGGGAGAGGACATTTGATGATATATTCGAAAACTGAAATGGGAAAAAATATAAGCGCTCACTTTACCAAATACAACGTTTTTGCTTGACATGCAGGATTTATGCAGAATAAAAGGTTTTGTGAAATGAAATAGCGTGTTTTGCAGAGGTCACTAAAAAGATATCTGTGATTATGCCATTATTAAGCCTAACGACGAGACATTATCACTTACGTTTCATGTATCATGGCTACTTTGTGCGTTATTAAATATGGCATCTAGGTACGACCCAGTTGACTCAGGTGAATGAACGGGCATCTTTCGACTCAGCTGATCATGATGGTTGTAGAAACCACGAGCGGTTTAGATTTCGAAATGCAAGGTACATGTCAGATGGATAAAAAATAGAGCGCAATGGCAAAGTGCAACAGTTCTAACCCTTGCCGCATTGATGGAGTATCATAACCTCACAAATGAAAGTATCAACCATCAGCGTCAATCATTTCATAATGAATTATATCGTCAAAATCAAGAAGGCGCGTTTAAGCTCACAAAGTGACTGTCCTCAGATATTAACGCAATCGAAAACCAAGGCCGAATGACGTCGAGCCTTAATCCATCGTTGATGGCGTATTTCTAATCTAGTGTCACACTGACCTCTGTTGCGCCGTTGTTTCTTTGTTGTTTGTTTCGACTTGGTTGTTTTTATATATGTAATGCTAAGAACATTTCAGCCATCATGCACGGCATCATGACTTAGCTTTAACAATGGTGAAGCCTTTTCAGGGTAACATTAGCTGAAAATAAACTGGGCAGTTAATGCCAGATTTCACGCCATAGTAACATCAAAATAATAAATCGGCAAAAAGACACATTTGTACACACCCGATTCTTTGGTTAAGATAGCTGATGAGAGGAAAACATCTTCCGACCTCCCAGCAGGAGTTTCAGCTATGATGTTAAATGTATACTTCCAATAGCTTCGAAGGTCGCCAATAACAAGACTTGACGCGTTGAAGCCTACAATGACAATCAAATATTAACTGAATGAAAAAAGAAAAATCGGTGTAATGTACGAGTGACCAGGAGACTATAGCTAATGCATCCTTAAACCTGATCTAACGGGGCCGTTGAATAATGATTAATACAGAATACAAATACAATAGAAGTACATGTATGTCGTAACTTTGCGATCCTTCTTACTGGGTCGCTTAGTGTGCTGCTCCCTATTTATTTATTATGAATACACGCCAACGCCTACCACCTACCACCTTCAACACCTCCGAATGTATTTGTAAACAAAGCTATGGCGGCAGGAGTGCACATATTAGAAAAGTACAATTTTCGATTCAAACATCAATTTCTCTAACTGTTCAACAATAACATCATTAATGATTGCAACCCATACCTTGTACATTGTGATGTTACTATGCAGGGTACAATACCTACATGTACGATATCTCGTTAGTCCGAGGCTAGCAAAAAGTAGGAAAGAATAGTAAAAAGGCTGATTTAGCATATCTACACAGCATCTAAAATAGAAACGGCGGAACAGATCCCAAGAATATAATATATGAAATAGAAATATTTAAACTTAATCCTTGAAACTCATGTACAGAAATAACACTGTCTCCATACATTATTATTTTGTAAACATTTTAATGTAATTTTGATACTGTATGTTCAGGATTCCTTGTAATTTTCTGTCTGAATATCTCTTGGAATCTTACATCCAGCAAAACCTGGAGGGGGAAAGGGTTCATTATATCGGTAAAGCCACATGTCAAACACAGATCGGTATCATCAACCAATTTGAGTTACACCCTTGAGGAAATAATGAGAACGATTACATTGTAAACCGAGATTCCACATGCAAGTAATTCGTGATAACAATTCTCTGTATGCCATGTATATAAAGAATAACTGAAATTTCGTTGGGGCTAGTAATACCTAGATTGGCTGAGGTAATCCCAACTGTCATAGGTTGCATCAAAAATATTATTTCATAATTTAAACCCAATCTGTAATTTGGGTGATTCTGGGATTCAAACCAAAGATGACAGGTTTCTGGCATGCTTAAGGGACGAAACTCTACGCAACGAACTGCAGTACATTGGACAACTGGGGTTCCGGTGTCCCCGTATAATATTCAGTTTGAAAGAGTGTTCAATATGCTCTAACAAGACTAACCCCTGACACTGATGTTTCTTGCCTCTTCGAAGATATTTGAATTTAACCTCGTCTCCTCCTCCACTGTAATGATGTAGGTGGTGGGTCCGCCCCTGTGAACAGCGGGTGTCCAGGACAGCGTCACACTGGATTCGTTGTTTACTGAGGCATTGAAGTCCTTTGGTGCAGATGGGTCTGAAACGTGGAAATATTACAGAGAACACAAAATGTACACCCTCATTTAAATGGTTGTTCTTGGTGTCTTACAAATCACGATACATACCAGTCATGTTTGTCTGAGCCGTGATTGTCCACTCCTGTCCTGGTCCTGCTTTGTTGATTACAACAACTGCTATACAATAGTTAGTATAGGACTGTAAGTTTGAGATGTTGTAGCTGTACAAGTTTGTTTTTAATTCTGTGTAACACAAGAAATCGTTGTGGACGTAGTATTTCCCCCTTTGCATTTAATATGTTTCTGTAATGAGCAAAATCAGAGTTTGAAATTAGCAATTATCATTTTGACATTACATGGTTAGACTTTTATTGAGTATTTGATGCCCGGAAATATATATGTCAGCTGATTTAAATCCATCAGATACTCTGTAATACCCTCAAATCTGATGTTTTTGGACCATGTAAAACATGAAATATATGGGACAAAGCCATTTTTCATCTTTTTCTGATAATCATATACTCATCATATGTACATCTTAAAACAGCATGACTACACTATAAAATATATATTAGGATTATAAGATTGCAGCGTTACTAAAAAAAATATAAAAAAATAAGTAAAATATAAGAAAACTGAGGAAAAGATAGTGAACATAGATGCTTATCGACGGTTTTAGTCTTGATCACTCGATATATCAGCGGACAAGCACAAATTGAAAGTGTGAGATTCAAATGTTGAGTTGTGTAGGTCAGCCCACCCATGGTACTTTATTTCATAAATGATAGACCATGCCCCGAGGTTATAAAACTTTCCTGAGTACAAATGTTCAAACCTAGTATCGTGCTCAACTCAAAAATCAGACTCAACTTGAGCATGAAATACGTACGATCTCAAGTACGCCTTGGACCGTGCTCAACGCTGAGTTCGCAAGGAAACACTAAAGTTTCCAAATTGCTCGACAATCACGGTTAGGTTAGTTATCCATGGATTACTAGAAAAACTGAGTTTTGTGAACACTGGTTACTGTAGCTAAACAATCACGGGAGGGTTGGTTATCCACGGGTTACTAGAAAAACTAAGCATTACAAACCCTTGTAACTAAGTAGTTCAGTACAACCAGAATCTAAATCGAACAGTGTCCCGATGCCACTTATTGACGAAACCTGAGTTTCGAACTAACGAGTATACCCATACTGTAGATTTAAGTATCAAAATGAAGTGCAAAAAATAACCTTTGCAACGGTATCATTAAGGATATACAACAAGCTATGTACAAATATTGATGCGGCAAAAATGATCATAAATACATCAGAAATATCTGAGTGAACATATAAATTCCCCTGACATTTTCAATACAAGAATAAGGTAGCGAACATATAAGGGCTAGCATACACCAAGTCAATACATAGTTTGAGAGTGTATGGTATACTGTAAGGGACATTTGGAAACGAGCTAAATATGCCCAAAACACGAGAATGCGAGATAGCGAGAATGTCCCTTACAGTAAAAAGGCCAAAATCTCGCGTTCTCGCGATCGGGCATTCTCGAGTTTCGACCGAGATATATAACAGGCCAACCAGCGACTAGAACCATTCCGGCTGCGGTGCCTCAGTTGTTCAGATAAGAGACTTAAGAGTAGACTCGGATAATTGGCAGTCCCAGTCAACTTCATTCAAGTCACCAGGCTAAAGTTAGTTTAAAGTGTGTTAATACTATCAATAAAGAATTGAATATTTACTTAATTAAACCGATATGTCGCGTTTTCTCGCATAGTTTTTATTTTGACATCTAGATCTAAGCATCAAAATAGGTACCAAATTGTAAAGCTACTTCCCTTTGATTTAACGCCGCTTTGAACATTATTTCGGTTATAACCCAATCGTGTCAACTTGATCTGGGAAGAAAGTAGTTCTTAGACGTTGTTGCCAGTTTGGTGAAACACACGAGTATAGGCATGGTTCTGACAAGCCTAGAAATATAACAACGGATTCGAACCACGGCCATATGTTATCAACACGCCTAAAGTTATGCAGCTTTGCACAGCGTATTCCGATGCATCATTCGACTGGGCGACTCGGTTGTTACAGTTAAAGTTAAAGTCGCTGCTGGAACTGGATGGTAATACGTAGTGTTACTGTGAGACGGTAGAAATCCATAGGAACCAGTGATGCTAGCAATATTTAACTGCATAGGATGTAAGGACTTCAACATTTGATCATATATTATCTGTTTTATATAGTTAATCACATACTAGAACTTGTATTTTGTATTGCGTTGGCGTTTAACGTTTCGCGTCGAGTTTAGCAATATATGTATTTCAGTTACTTAGAGACTACCTCAGAGCTACAATATATTACGGAGTTTATGTCCCGAAAGAATTCATTTTGTAAGTTCCGAGCCTTGGTGAATCTTCAGTTATTTGCGACAATGTACTCATACGATACCACGTTCCTCTTCTCAAACAATGAAAACAATGTAGCAATTGAAACGATCTGGACAATCATCATGCACCAAAAAATGTAATGCACAGTGAGAATTAGTGAAAATAATTTCACTTATATCCATGATATATGGGTGATATAAAGAGAACTCTACAGAACAGAGGAACAAAGGTCTTAATGTCGGCCATATACAACTGCCGTGAATTTATCTCACCAGTATCAAATTAATATATCATTGGGGCGAAGATTGAAGCTAGTTTTAGCAACTGTTCAAATGTTATTTAGTCAGTGAGTTTGATTGTAATTTAGTATTTTAACAATCCCCTCAAGTTTTTCGGACGGCCATGATCATGATTGTTACCCCATTGTACCAAGAGACATTGTAGTGATATTTGTATGGAATAACCACTGTATATAAAAAATTGCAAAACGTACTTCCAATATGAGTCTTCTCTTTGAGTGTTGAGTTTTCCCCTATTGTGAAATTTGCTGCAGCAGCGACACTAACAACGTAGTCTGTGTTCGAGTCCAGGTCAGTCACGTTGTAAGACATGTCACCATGGCATTCATCATATGTCGCAGTCGCGCCCGCCATAACAGAATTGCAGTCGGCCTGGAGACAGAACGATCAGGGAAAACAGAAAAAAAAAAAAAACATTATATGCTAGGAACGGGCCATTAAACATTCACCGGGAAGAGGGGGGGCTTGAAGTCATGTAATGTTGTCCTCCGGTAGAACGAGAACATCAATTTATTCTTTTCATCCCATTTTATCTGTATCATGACATACAATATGTCCAGAGAGCAAATGAATTTTCTGGAACGAATGTTGTTGTTCTTAAATCCTAGACCCTCGGAATATCAATTGGTTTCTCTCTCAATGAATATGAAAAAGAGAACGTCCTTTAATAAGGACGGTACCCTAATCGTCCGAGTTATGACATATTCAGATAAATTAATCATTTTGACGAAGTAACGTCATATATGTATAAATACATTTTAAAAATTAGTCGTCTAGAGATCGAGGTTTCCGGACACAAGGGGACCGCATTAACCTGCTGTCACTGTATGTATTCAAGAAGGAACAAAATATAATGTTTAATAGGTCAGTGAGGTGACAAATATATCATTATCTCGCATCAGTATTTCAGTAGCAATTTGCGACCAGAAAGTGAGATAATAATATTAGGATTACTTTTGTTTAGAAGGAATAATATGTACTAGCTGATAGAGTTATAGACAACTTTAAAGGTTATCACAAAATTGTCCTGCAATAGTTAAGAAATTGTTTTGTTAATGCTTCTCCTATTTTGTGGAATGTTGGATCAGTAAATGAAAAAATGAAAACTCGGTTCCCAAAAGGGTAATATGACCACATGTGTGATATAGCCAATCTCTCAATTCACTTACAGATGCATATATACTATCATTTGGAGGGCAGAGGATGTAGACTGCTTTTAAACATTCGCCTCCCTTGCTTGTGAAGACGATGTACTGGGTGAATGGGACATCACTTGTTGATGCCGTCCACGACAGACCAAGAGACGATGATGTCGTCACTGTGGTCTTCAAATTGTTGACTTTACCTGGGACTTAAAATAAGTCAGCCTGAATTACCTCTTAGCAAATATTGAATCGGGGTTTGTTTGTAAATAATAGCATTATATTTGAATATGTCTAATTTTCGTGTATTCATCTCGAATATGAATTATCATCTCGACGGAACAAATCATCATTTTGGCTCATCTATTCGCGAACACCTGGTGTCATCACTATTTGAAATTCATAAGCACTTGCTTCTGATGAGTCTGAATCGTACAATGGAGATGTTTTCTGATTATTAAAAGGGATTTGATGCATATATATTTGCTGGTATATATTCAGGAAGAGTGTCTGTGTACACTCATAGATGAACAGTTTCCACAACCCGTCAATAAATGACATTAATAAAACTTATATGCAACAAACCCCTTCCACAACCATAAGAAATATATGCTAAGAGCATTTTATTTTGTGTCAAAGCAGTAATGAGACCAAGTGTTCGCGAAAGGATGTGCAATACTTAGATACATTGATCAGATGATAATGTTAACTGCCTCCCACCTCCAGGGATTGAAGACCCGAAACAGGATGCCTTATATTATAGAAATTATTTGTGTAATTGTGCTGCGTAACTTAAGCAGCGACATCATTGCAAGGACGTGACACTATGTGTATTTTGCTCTCAACAACTTTAATCAATCTGACAAGTTACACTCCACATGAACAGTTGTATTCCGCATGTCTCCCATAAACCTTTTGAAATCTTTTACTGAGGCCAAGACATACCATGCTCTGGCGTCGAGGTAGTTGACAACTCTGTAGTCGAAATCTGAAATACACATTAACGGTATACAATGTATGGGTGAGGTGAGGTGAGGTGAGGCGTCGCGTTCAATATTATTTCACATTACGACGTATGTGTGTGGGGGGGAGGAGGGGGCGGGGCGGGGGCTGATTGTATAACTCCCGACTGATGCCTGTTTATAGTGCTACAATGCGGTCGTTAAGCTTACTTCTCCGCACCTACGTCCTTCTTTTGTCACCCGAATGCCAGGTCACAACAAGTATTTTGGTATGGTGCGGCTAGAGCATCGAACAACCGAGCATCCACTCTCTAAGGCAAACGTTCTATCCACTACACCACCGAGGATGTTGATAAACAGAAATACTGAGATGGCACATGACTTTTAGAAAGAAATAAGCCGAGCACATAAGGGTAGGGTCTGTTTGACATGATATGCATGATGGTTTGTTTGTTGTTAAACGCAGCATTTAGCAATATTCCACTAAACCTAGAAACAAAACCAGGTCGAACGGGATTAAACCCACGATCATAGACACACATAATAGTCGCAACTCCACAGGAGTTATGGGGTCTTAGACGACTGGGAGACCCATTCCCCAAGCAGACAAGTGTACATAAAGGTAGATAATGCTATCATATGGGGTACCTTCACGGTCTCGCATGAAAAGAAAGTTAACGCGTGATCTAAACACTCACCGGAAGTACAGACCCGATACTGAATGCAGCCAACATGAAACACCATCCTACAAATATGTCCATTGTGAATGAATGGTTCCCGAGGCTGGGGCCAGGTGTCTATGTGAGGTCTGACAAGGACTTCTACAGGGATGACATTTAAACTGCTTAACCAGCCGACACAGGGCAATGTAGGCCATGTCAACGGCTGATAAGCAGGTGATTGTGTTTGAGGCTGTCGTCCATCGATATCAGAAGCAACCCACAGTTAGAAGTGTGGGTGATCGGATGACCAAGAGGTTATAAATATAGCATTAGATGTCGTTAGATGCAAAGTAGAAATGTGATTGTAAAATTCTAGCATTGAGTAATTTCTTATACGCATTGTCTGCAACATTTAGACCGCTATAGAAAATGACATTGTTTCGCGGCACCATGTGCAGCCTGGTGTATTTTACAAGAAGACATATGTTATGTGTGTACAAACCACATCTAACCATTGGTTTGGAGAGGTTTACATGCAGTAGGATGTCTTGTAGTCCAACGTTTTTAAATGGGGACCAGCAACAAAGTGTTTGCTGTTTTCTGAATAACTACCTTTTATTGTTACATTTTTGTTAATACAGAATACGTTCCTATTAAACCTTCTGAACAATCCATTATTCCTAAAATTGACAAGAATTTTCAGGGAAAATCACTAGAAGAAATCAAATAATCTGTCCCTGAACGATGCCTTGATGCCTATCACGTCCTTGCATTGTTATCGCTACTTGATAAACGTGATACAATTTCACCAATAATATCTGTCGGATATCCTGTGTCACGAATCATGCCCTACAATCTGATCAAAGAATCAAAGAACTGCACACCCTTTCGCGAACACTTGGTAGCGTCACTATTTTGATAGTGATTCATATACGTACTTTTATGATAAAGTCGGAATCGAACAATGGGCTCTGCTTTTAGCATAGACTTCTATTAATTATGGAATAGACTGAGCTGATTCTGGAATAATGTACATATTAAAAGCGATGGAAGCATGTCATGTTTACTAAACCTTACCCAGTTGCACAGAAGTGTATAATCTATGCACGTGAAACATTACTGATAATGACGTTCACTCACTCACAAGAGTTTTGCAAATAATAAACATGTGAAACAAATGACCTGTGTTTAAAGTATTCGCAGTTCTTTCTCTGATGACATTTCTGTCCTATCAATATCATGTATTGCATGACGACAATATTGCGTTGAAATGTGTCATTTCCATCTGTTATCCTATGCATACGCCGCCGTCATATAGCTGGAATATTGCTGAGTGTGGCGTTAAACAACAAACCAAACCAAACCATCCTATGCATACAAGGGAAAACATGAATGACATGCATACGAGAGAGATTGTTGACGATCAGTCGTTCGTTACCATGCTAAATATTAACATTTTATTGTTCATATTTCATATGTTATAAGAGATACATTTCCCGTGTGTGGTCATTCTACACCCTGCAGACGTTTCGTCAAATGTGCAGAGTGATATTTGATTATTCGTAATTTGTATCACATTAAACACAAACGGATATTTGAGACAGGTAGCTTGTTTAAGTACTGGGGAAATAAACGAAAAGCAAATTATCTTATCTATCGTGATTCACGCAGTTCCACACATACCCGAGGCCTGCAGAACTCTAAGAACACTTCAACATTCAATGGCGTGGTTCTGGAGAATACAGAGACCCGATGATGGCAGACATGGGTAACTAAAGGAACAGTTCAAAGGTAAGTGTAAGCGTACACATGATAACAGCTATTGTTAATGAATGAAAAGTCGTGAAATGTCCTCTCGCTTTTCCTGTTTGACACTGTCACTTCTGTCACTTCTTTCGACCATTATCGATACATTTATATTGTCAATTTGTACTTGCATGTATGTGTGCGTCATGTACGTTTGATGGATATTGTCATTGCTCCGTGTAGTTCGGTGTCATAATCGATTGACAGATCATCATTTTTGACATACTCGTATGCACTGTTTCTCGATTATGTTCTCACAAATGTTAGCCTACTAGTAACGTACATACAAGAACGTTTATTTGTTGTTTAACGCCGCACTCAGCAATGTTCCTGCTGTATTTTTGCTGCCAATCAATTATCGAGTCTGGGGTAGTCAATCCAGTGGTAGATATTAATTATGAGCAGCGGTCCATGCCGTTGGGAACGATGACATGCTGTCAACAAAGACTCAAAGAATCTGACCACCCGATCCATTTTGTCACTTCTTACAAGACCCGTGAAGATCCAGGGTAGAACAGGTCTTCAGCAACCCATGCTTGCCGTAAAAGGCGACTATGCTTGTCGTAAAAGGCGACTAACCGGATCGGGTGGTCAGGCTCGCTGACTTGGTCGATACATGTCATCGATCCCAATTGCGTGGATCGATGCTCATGATATCAATCACTGGATTGTCTGGTCCAGACTCGATTATTTTACAGACCGCTGTCATATAGCTGGAATATTGCTGAGTGCGGCGTTAAACGACAAACAAACAAACTTTAGCTATTTATAATCTCTCATCCTGTTTCGATTCTATGGCAATGTCGTACAATCTAAGCTTATCAAAGATGTTTCACTTTCCCGCCAGCTTTAGAATACAGTACTACAAACTTTTCAAACACGTGACAATACCCTATGACGTAATTTGTATTATCATCTAACTAAAGCATTTATCCATGATATAAGCTTATGACATAAAAAACATGTATGTCATACCCCAATTACATAAGTAGATATGCAAATTAGATAACCGGAAGTGGGACTTTTTTCGCCGGTGCACGTGAGTAGGTGTTAACAAACAGCATGGATACCTTTTATGTTGGAGAAAATGATGTTATAGATCAAAGGGGAAGTGCTACAGTGATATCCGTGTTGACAAATGGATATTACAGGTTACATGTTGATGGTACCGAATTTAAATTTGACTGTGATGAAGGCAGATTATCAAAACTTCACGGTGGCCAACGTTTCATCATCGAAACGCCATCGTCGAGCGCGGCACAAAGCCGAAAGATGCCCAAGGTAGATTTTTGGCTGTTGAGGATGGCATGATCGATGGTGTGATCCTAGACAATCATAAAAAAAAACACCCAAGAAAACTTTCTAAAAGTCCAAAATGAAATTCGCCAAATGCATGAAATCCACCCAAACGAACTAGACACACTTTTCTGCAAGTTTTTCATTAGTGTTCGAAAAACAAATGGGGAAAATTATGAACCAAACAGTCTCACGGGATTTCAGAGCAGCATCGAAAGATCACTAAAACGAAGGGGGTATGGCTATTCACTCACGTCATCTTTAGAATTTTCACGATCATGTTGTTCATGTTTGAGAGAATCCATGATTGTGACCACCCTTAGGTGAATGAAGCCATCACATCTAAGTAATTGTTGTGTCTGGAACTTGTAATGACACGTGTCAACCTGATGTTATGACTAGTGTCACACCTGCCACAAGTTGACATTATTTGTGTAAACACAAATTCCCAAGTTGCAAAACTTATTGAACGCCCTTCGTATG